ATCTATCGATATTCTTGCGAGAAGCTGAAGACTTATCTAAGCACACAGAACTCCTATGCATCACAGCAACAGTCCTCAATCAATTATGGACAGAGTGATTCAATATCAACAGGTGCTCAGTTTGAGGATGAATTACCTTCTCCAATAATTCTGACAAATGCATCCACGGATACCGTTGGAATCGCCTTGAGAGTGGTAGAGATTTGGATTGAAACTTATTTGAATCAATGGATAGATCGTCTGTCATTATCTGAAGATGCAGGAACACATTTTCAGAAACTATTAGATCTCTTCGAAACGTATCAAAAGAAGGCACTTGTACATTATTATTCAGCAGATCAACCTTCAGACTGTCTCGGTTACACTCGATATATTCTCAGTTCATTGATTATCCTATGTTGGATGCATCGAGAATTATGTGCCGATCCAAGATTTGAACGATTGTCATCCCATTCCATAAATATTCCTCACCTCTTGGTATTATTCAAATACTTGATTCTACCTAATCGAGAAGAAATGATTCGTGCTCACCAGCTTTACGATTATTTCCGAAAATTCAGCCAAAACAGAGATCCCGATCTATTAAGCAGTATTGAGTGCAAAGATGCCTTTGGTATTCATTTTGCCAGTCAATCAGTGGCGATGAAAGAAACTCTTTGAAAAATTCGAGCTGAAGCTGAACGAGACAGACAAGCAAAATGTGAAGAATTCAATACGGCTAAACAAAGATACGATCAATTGAAGGCAGAAGAGTGTGGTTGTGGGTGGATGGGTGTGGGTGTCGGTCTACTTTTCATCCCACACCCACGCTAGAAGAAATTAAAATCATGTTTGTGAGTCGAATACTTCTTGAACGTTTGTAACAGGATATAAAGGTTTAATTGGTATTTAATAACAAAAAAGAGCAAGCTTTCATAATGAAAATTTTGAAAAATACAAAACACTATGAGAATGACAATATTTATTTCATCGTCATGTTTTTAACACAAAAAGCACAGACAAAGAAATTTTCTTCGTTAGAGAACAGATTCAACTTTCTTTCATAACAATAAATGTTTCTTTATCTCTATTTCATAAGGTACGAGTATTGGGTGAGGATGGGGATGGTGTGGAACGAAAAGTAGACTGACACGCACATCCCCTATCCACCCACATCCTACACCTATTACACCTCTATTTTGTTTTGAATGTTTCTGATTTTTCGCATTGGATTTTTAGCTATTAAATATAGTTTCTCATCTCGTGCACCGGTGATATTCGTGAGCTAGATCGCAATTCTGCTATTAATTCTGAATCTGCATCGACATATTTTGTAATCCGTCAAATAAGCACGGCTTCTTTTTCTAAGCACGCTTGCAATAAGTTTATTTCATGCATTCAATGAGAGACGTATATCTATACCTTTAGAAAAGTATTAATTGTGAGCTATGGACGAGTTCTTATCTTAAAGCAAATATCAACATACGAATCCATCCGTATGGTGCACATGTGAAAGTGATCGACTTTGATTGACGTTATAGAAGACAATAGTAAATGGGGTTTTTATGGCTGATTGTCATTTATCTGATTAGTAAAAAGTTCATCCTACGTTTTCGATTTTAGATGATAGTATTGTGCATTGTTTTTCAATTATTGTTTGCATTGTTGACGATCGAGAAATGCAATGGAATTTCGAGTTCTCTGCAACCATTCACTACATACAAACATTCAATGGTACTCAAACCAAATCTAGCTGATCTGCGGTAGACAGTGGATAATGCTGAACGAGAAATAACGTTTGAGTTACATATTAAAACAACAAGTTAGATTGCTTTGGGTATTAGTCCAGGGAGGATACTATTCGAATTTGTCATCAATATTCGTATTATATGACTCGCTAGCTGATGGTATGACGGATGCTGACATCGGTGTTGGATGGGTCGACAATAAAGATAACGCTTATTTTCAAGTATGATAGAATTTTGTCTCTCTCGTGAATGGGATTGACTTTCTTTCTTTTTTTCTCTCTCTAGGATCGGTACGTGTTCACTGATTCCACATTAGTCATTGATAATACAACGATCGATTGGTTTGCTATTCAAGGTCATGAGGAAAATGGATGGACAGCTATTCAATTCAAACGTTTACTTGACACATGTGATTCGATGGATGTTCCAATTAAGGTCTCTGATAATCATCTTCTAGTATCCTATAAAAATATTTATCCGAAATACACCTTCAATAACCCCTTCGAATCGAATTCATAGAAGTCTGTGACAGATCGATTCAATACCGGATTCTCAAAAAAATTTGAACTTGTTTGATGACCACAAGAGATCTTTGCTGTAAGGATACTTATTTAGGAAACATGCCTTATTACCATATTAGTTCACTCATTATTTTGTTTTGTTTTCTACACAGATGAAACTGCACTCATAGATCTTTCCAATTACAGGAGAATGAACTTTTGTCATTGTGTATTTCAATTCGAGCTGAGGTTATGTAAAAGAAGGTTAGCCTTTCATGGCTACTTTTCCAAACACGTATGTTTCTGTCACCAAATATTTTGTTCTCCAATTAGATGCATTCGAGCACCCATTCACGAACTGTATTGTAGTCATAGTTTCTGCTAAAATATAAAATCAGGATTATAGGGTATAAAAATTACATTGGCAAAGAATACAATGTTGCTGAAAAAGTATATATAAATACAATTGATAATCGGGTTAAAAGATAGCTGCAATGATCGAGATAGAGCGAAATTGTGTTCAACGACGTAGTTCCTTCAAAACGTGTTAGGGTGTACGTATCGTGCCATTTTTTAGACTTTCCCCTGACTATGATTGATATCGCGCTAACCTTAACATTTTCAAACCAAAGTCACACTCTTCAGTTATGATCTCTGAGGTTTAACGAAAATGTGGGTCAACAGCATGATGTTGTTACACTGTTTGACTTCTTGACTTCTTGAGTTGAACTAGTCTTCTGACCGAAGGAAAGATGAAATGGATTAACGTTTCTGGTAGGGAAGATATCGAGCTACAAATATTGCATCCAGTAACGGTAGCTGTATGGTAAAGCATCCTTTCTTCTTTCTTGACTTATTGAAGTTCTGTAGTTTTTTTTTTCTAGTACTGACAATGAAAATATTATATTTGTTACAGTCCGGAACGAATACTCTCATCTTTGCTTATGATCTTATCGATTCTGATATGTGTCAGCCAAATGGTGATATCTACTATCATAAAACTCGACGAGGTATACATGTAATACCACTTCGCTCCTATGCCAATCCACCATCAGAGGACATGTTTGTTGAACTTGATTCGTTCGACTTCCGCTTGGATAATGTCAGTTATGATACTAATCCATTTTATATACCATTATATAGTTTTTGCATTACTATCTACTTCCATCTACTGACACAACCCATTCTTGCAAAGTTTTCAAAGTGTCATCTGGTTTTACAACTATACGTCATGTAATTGATGTATGTACCATAGATAACTTGTCTTAATATCTAATTTAATCGAATCTTATCTCTAAAACACAAGATACTCGTCGATAAATCTACTGAGGATTTAATACATTCAATAACCACGTACGAATGTGATTCTACAGTCACATTCGATGATAACAATTTGCCTGAAGGTGATTGTTATGAGAGTTCTCAATTTTCCATGTGTTTGCCAAACGTTGTCGATGGATGGACAGCCGGCGATTACCACGTAAGGCTATTTGATAATTAGAACAACGAGCTTTAGTGCACAGTTGTATATCTTAAGATGGCAGAATTTTCTGAGGAAGCTGGCTATCCCGTTGGTGGTAATTTTTCCATCAAATATTATGTGCTATCGGTACACTTTGAAAATTCACGGCTCATCGCATGTACAATCGTTCTTTATCAAAATAGTAAACTCAATAGTTGTCTGGTTCTGTTTTCTCTAAGATAAACATGACAATTCGGGAATGAGATTTTATGTTGGAAAGACACTTCGGAAGTACGATATTGGCCATATTACGATGGGTACAAATTCAAATCCTACTGTTATTATTATTCCGACGAATGTCGATCAATTCGTGATCGATTCTTATTGTCCTA